GATGGATGGATGAAGGAGCGAGGGGAGGGTTTGGGGAGCCCAAACCCGATGCTTCGTTTCGCTTCTCCCGGCCGCTTCCAGCATCCTCCGGCCGCCCCCGCCTCCTCCCTACGCCCCGCCGCCCCCTCCGGTTCCGCGGGGCCGGGGCGGCGGAGGCGGCGGGGACATGGTAAAAGCTCGGGGAAGGGAAGGTTGGAGGTTGTGGGGAGAGGGGAGGGGGATAAGGATGAAGGGGTGGGGGGGAGAGCGGGCAGGGCTTCCCCGGGGCCGGGGGCGGGCAGGCACCGCCGGTACCGGGGCCTCCCAGGTTGGAGGTTGTGGGGAGAGGGGAGGGGGATAAGGATGAAGGGGTGGGGGGGAGAGCGGGCAGGGCTTCCCCGGGGCCGGGGGCGGGCAGGCACCGCCGGTACCGGTGCCTCCCGGTGCGTCTCCGCCTCCCGTAACCCTCTCGGTGCCGGTTGTGGGGAGGGGGAACCGTTTCTCGGGGGGGGGTTGCCCCCACTCGTGTCCATCCCTCCCCCTCTGCTGCCCACTCCATCATCATCATCACTGCCCACTCCATCATCATCATCATCTCCCTCTGGCAGCTCTGCACCCCATAGGGACCCACGGGGCTTGGACCCACTGCCTGTAGCCCCCACTGGGTGCCAGGGACCCCCAACCCCACGGTGAGGGGGGGTGCACCCATATAAGCTGCCAGCCCGTCCTTCATCCACCTCTGCCTCCCCCATGGCCCTCTGGGGTCACAGCCGCCCCACAAGAGGGGAGCAGAGAAGCCCAAGGCTTCCCCCCCCCTCAACACACTTCTCCCTTTGCCCAAATCACCCCCAACCTCCCCCAAACCTCTTCAGAACATCCCCCCTCCTCTTCCTCCTGTTCCAAACACCCCCCTCTTGCACCCCTGGATCCAGAAAACCAGCTGGGGTCAACAGCTGATGGGATTTCCCTGGATCAGACCATGCTGGGAGATGTCCTCCCCAGTTCCACCACACTCCGCTCCCCCAGTAGGGCCAGAGGCACCACGCTCTCCTGTGTCCCACCTCAACTGCTCTGCCAGGGGAACTAATTGCTTCTGTAAATTAATTAATATCAAAATTAAAGCACCAAAGCCACGGCTCCCCAGAGGTTTTAGGTGTGCGTGGGGTTATTCCCAACCTGTGGCAGCTGAAGAGGGCAAGCGAGCAGGGGTTTGGGCCAGGCTTGTCCCTGCCTTGGATTGGGACATTGAGCCCTGGCCACCTTCCCCATGACATGTCCCACCAGGCTAATTCAGCCCAGGTTAGCCACAACCACCACATCCTGGATGGGCCCTGGTTGGGAAGGTTTAACTGGTCCAAAGGCCAGGAAAACTGGTGTGAGGGCCAGCAACAGGACCTAGAAGTGGGTCGTGAAGCAGGATGGGTGTAGCCACATCTCAGGAAAGGGTTTGTTCTCCCAGAAATCCTCATCTCATTCCCATCTGACAACTCCATCGAGGCAGAGCAGAGCCCTGGACATATCAAAGGAGGCTTTTTGTTCCTGGAGATCTTCTGAGGTGGCTCCTGGCTTCATTTCTGGCTGCAAAGTCCCTTCGTTTGGGCTTCAGCTCCTAGAGGCTTTGTCACAGGATGGACACTTCAGCAGCGGGAGGTGGGACTCACAGGCCAGAGCTTCAGCCTCGCTGGAGGGACCTGGAGCTTGGGATCCTGATGAGGCTGGGGTGGAGGAAGCTCGCTGCTGGTGGGGAGGTGTGTGTGTGCACAGAACGAGGACGGGGCCACCCCTCTGGGTGCCCTGAGCAGACCCAAAACCCCCCCACAGCCCCACATCACACCCCCACCGCGTCGCTCCCTCCATCCCAGCTCCCCCCCTCCGAGTTGATTCCCAACCTCCATCATCACCCTCCAGGGCAGCTCTTCCCACCAGCCTGGGCCAGAGCAGAGAAACGAGTCAAAAGGGCAATTAAACATTAACAGCAGGAGGACAGCTCACAGGGCTCCCTTTGTTCCAAAGAGAAGAGGTGTGTGGGGGGGGTGGGTTTAATTTATAAAAAAAATAACACAACTTAGAAAGTCACCAGCGTGGCTAGACGTGACACACGCGCGTGTGAGCATCACCAAACACCCCGTCAGCTCTGTAAACAGACAGGAGGAACCCCCAAACTGACCAGAGTCACCTCAGGAGCAAAGAGGGAGGGACCTGGAGAGCCCCCCCTGAGCAGTGTGAACCCAGAGAAGCCTTCAAACCACTCCAGGCACCGAGATCTCACCCTCAAAGTGCACCCCACCGTCCAGGAATGGAATAAAAAATACAGAGAAAGAGGTTTGAAGCCAGAATAGGGTGGTTTCCTCCACCAGACAAGCCCAGGGGGGGTTTCCAGGGAACTCCAGAGTGTTGGTAAATGTGTGGAATGAGCCCCCAGCAGTGTATTTTGCTCCAGTTCCTGCCCTGCTCATCTCCCCCTGCCCAGCTCATTATACACATCTGGGAGAGGGAAAAAAAAAAAAAACAGAGCTCCTTTAAACATTAACCTCTTCCAGCAGCATCTCCCCTTGGTTATTTCTACACTGGAGGAATCAAGAATTATTTCTTCTTCTTCTTCCCAGTAACCCAGCACCAGAAACCAGAGCACGAGATACTGGCTTTAAAGCCAGAGATACTGGCTTTAAAGTCCCTTAGTTTAAAGATACTGGCTTTAAAGTCCCGAAGTGCTTCCTGCCAAAAAAAGGTGGGGAGGGGTTTGAAATCTACTGTTGATTTACGATATATTTTGAAGGGGAAATACGGAAAAGCTGCCTTGAAGTGAAAATAAATAAATAAATAAATAAATATTGCACTGACCATAGGAGAAAAACACCTTGGAATGGGATACCTGTGGGGTAAGGATACAAATGCACACGCTCCCTGGCTTTTTGTTTCGTAGCTCGGTGTCCTGGCCTTCCCTGCCAGGCTCAAACAGCAGCCAGGAAAGAAAACTGGATCCTAGAGTCCCAATAAAACCACAAGACACCCAGGGACATCCCATTTGGTCCCCCTAAAAGCCTGGCAGGAAGGGTCTGACCTCCCTCAGGAAGACAACGGCCAGATCTTAAGCCTCTACAAGCACTTTTTGGGGTTACCAGCAATACCCCCCCTCTAAATCAAGAAGACTATTCCAACAGCAGCTGTGACTTGAGGGTCTGCAGCCTGCAGGGCTCTTCCTAAGAGCTCAGGGAGATAGAGGGAGGTGGTGGAAGAAGACTCCATGCTGTGATGAGGAGGTGGTCCAAGAATCCTAATAAAACCACAAGACACCCAGGGACGTCCCATTTGGTCCCCCTAAAAGCCTGGCAGGAAGGGTCTGACCTCCCTCAGGAAGACAACGGCCAGATCTTAAGCCTCTACAAGCACTTTTTGGGGTTACCAGCAATACCCCCCCTCTAAATCAAGAAGACTATTCCAACAGCAGCTGTGACTTGAGGGTCTGCAGCCTGCAGGGCTCTTCCTAAGAGCTCAGGGAGATAGAGGGAGGTGGTGGAAGAAGACTCCATGCTGTGATGAGGAGGTGTGTGCTTGGGGGAGAGCCCTAGTCCTGAAAAAGGGACAGTTCTTGGCACCTTGAGGACAAAAGGGACAGGCTGGGGAAGACAGGGATGCTCTTGGAGCCAGTTTTTCCCTGTGGTACCAGAGAGGTTTCCTCAAGCAAACCATGGTTTTCCTCACCCCCAAAACCACCATCATTGGGTGGCAGCTGGAAGGAGCCAGCTTTGATGGAGGAGCAGAACCACCCCAGTGCTTGGCAGCACCAGTGCAGCTTTTGGATAACTGAGGAGCACGGACAATCCTGGCTCCAGGATAACCCAGAAGGACTTGACAACGCACTGCTCCTCTTGGGCATCCTCCACCCATGACACCAACGCAGCAGCTTTCAGGTCAGATCTCACCCTGCCCTCACTGCATCCACGGTTTAGAGCCACAAATCCAACCCCCTCCACGGCTGGTAACTCCTGGGAGGTGTAAAACAGCCAGGAAGGTGGGGACCTCACTGCTTTTAGCACTTAACACCAACCACGACCACAGCCATGGATGCAGTGAGGGCTTTGGGGTCCCCCTCTCCCCTCCTCATCACTCTGCTCCCCCTTTTCCAGCTACACCCAGATGCAGTCCTGCTTCCACAGCCAGTGCTGGGAGTGTGTGTGTCCATGCCAGCGGGGAAGCGTGAGGAGGATGAGGGGGTGCCCCACGGCTGCCAGGGAGGTAGCTGGGAGGAAGGGAAGGTTTCCAGCTCTTGAGAGGCTCTTGTTCCCTACTTGATGTTTTTGAGGAGCGCGGTCCGGGCGTTCACCACCGCTTTGAAGGCGTCCTCACTGCCAGGAGCCACACACTTGTCGGGGTGGAGCAGCACGGCCAGCTTCCGATAGGCTTTGTTCACTTCATCCCTAGGAGACACGACAAGAGGGAGGGGACACATGTGACACACAGCCCAGCTGGCAGGAGGTGTCCCCCCCCCTGCACTCACTGTCCCTTCTGAACCCTTCCCTCACTGGCACCACGGATCTCCAGGCGTTGGGAGGTGATGCTGCAGGGAAAGAGCTGCTGAAAAGCACACGGGGCACTTTTTGGGGTGGCATGAACCCCTCTCCTGGGGGTATTTCACTGAATTTCAGAGTTGGAAGGGACCATAGAGATCATCTAGTCCAACCCCATAGAGATCATCTAGTCCAACCCCCCTGCTGAAGCAGGATTGCCTAGAGCTAGAGCATGTTACTCAGGAGCATCCAGGCGGGTCTTGAAAATCTCCAAGGAAGGGGACTCCACACCCTCCCTGGGCAGCCTGTTCCAGGGCTCTGTCACCCTCACCGTGAAGAAGTTTCTCCTCATATTTGAGTGGAACCTCTTCTGGTCCAACTTGTGCCCGTTGCCCCTCGTCCTCTCACTGGGAACCACTGAAAAGAGTCTGGCTCCCTCCTCCTTCAACCCTCCCTTAAGATACTTGTCAGCATTAATAAGGTCTCCCCTCAGCCTTCTCTTCTCCAGACTAAAGAGTCCCAGCTCTCCCAGTCTCTCCTCATCAGGGAGATGCTCCAATCCTTGAATCATCTTTGTTGCCCTTCGCTGGACTCTTTCCAGTAGTTCCCTGTCCCTCTTGAACTGGGGAGCCCAGAACTGGACGCAGTACTCTAGTTGTGGCCTCACCAGTGCAGAGTAGATAACCCTTCTCCACTGTTGGACTGTATCAGCATGGATTCTGCCACCATGCCAGGCCACGTGCCTGTGCCACGTGCCACGGTCTGGCAGCAGGAGAGCAGAAAGCCAGGAGACAGCGTGGGGGCACACGCACCCTGACTCAGCTCCGCAGCAAACCGCCTACGCACTCTGGGCAAAGGCACTGCACATCATCCAGCCCTTTCAGCCCTGAGCATCTGGTCCAAAGCAGACCCCTCAGCTGCAGGCCAGGGGCAAAGGGGGGCACCTCCTGAGGGAGGGGAGTCCATCCGTGCCAGCCATCACAGCACAAACTGCCCTGAGGAGCTCCTGATCCCTCCCCTTGGATGAGAACAGGCTGGAGGAGGGGTTAAGCTCAACAGCCAACGTTTCATAGACCCTCCTGTTGGCTCTCTGAGTCCCAAATGATCTATGTTATCCAAAAATCCACTCTCCAGCCCCTTCATAAGGAGCACACAAGGATAGTCCTTGTGGTTCTGAGGGAAGCAAGCAAGGAATAGCTCTGTGAGCCTGTTTTAGCTGCCCAAGTCATACAGCAGAACCGGGCCATTCAATATCCAAGCTCTTACACAGGCACTGACCAATTCCACCTGAGTAGAGGTCCTCCAAGAAGACAAGAAAAAGCTCATCTTGTGGGAGTGCTGCTTCCAGGTGAAAGAGCTGGAACATCAATCCCTTTTTGACAACACGGGCAGCAGCTTTACAGCAGATTAAAAGCTTCTCCAGGCACAGAGAGCAAGGAAGGTAAAAGCTGGAGCTGCTCCAAACACATCTTGGCAAGTGAGTGACCAGAGATGGCTCAGCCTGGAGGCAGGATGAAGGGCTGAAGGTCTCATGTTCATCACTCCTTCCCCCTTCCCTCCAGGCTGCCTGTTAAAAGGGGAAATCTGGGGCTCAGGACCCAGGTTTTCTTTCCCATTGCCCCAATTTTGTGGGGAGATACAAAATGCTTGTGCCTGGCTGCTATATAAACCAGGATGAGCTTATTGGTGGGTCACAGGATGCAAGCAGAGGGATCAGGGACAGCCCTCTCACCTTGTGGCTCCAGGTTTGACCCCCAGCATGTCCCAGCTGTCCTTGCTGTTGCGGATCCTACGAATGGCATCTGCCTGCTCTTTGGTGAAGCCCACCCCCACGCTGGAGGGGGGACGCTTCCCACCGTTGTCACACAGGTCGATGATGGCAGAGTAAAAAGTCTGCGGGCACAGGGAGGAGTCAGGGGGAAGGAAGGGTCCCCAAAGGTGGTGGCAGCACATAGGGGACACCCCACTGCCCTTGCTGGCTGCAGGCTCATCTTCTAAAACATCGGGGAGCATTTGGACAACTTCTAAATATTCACTCCCCGCCACCTGGGCCTGGGTGGGGGGCTGGGATACCCCAGTTTGGGGAGATCAGGTCCCTGCAAAGACCAGGGGATGGAGGGAGGAGGAGGCCAGGCCTCACATTTCTCTCAAACCCACTTCAGCTCAGTGCCAGACCCCAATAGGTGACACGGGCACCTCTGCATCGTGTTCCCAGTGCAGCAAGAGCGATCATAAACTCTGAGCAATGCAATGGTAGGGCCAGTTCAGGACTGGGAGGACCAGTAAATGCCCTGAGCCAAACAGCTACGGCTTTCTCAGGATGGCATTTCATTGGGAAGACACCTCTGGGGCAGAGGGTCGACAGGTTTCATGGGATCCAGGCAGGTGAGGAGACATTCTGCCATCAAATCCTGGCTCAGCATGGCCTCTGTGCCCGTACCCACTTCATCACACCTCACCTGAAACATCTCGTTGATGCCTTCTCCTGTTTGTGCCGATGTCTCAAAGTAGAGGAAGCCTCTGCTCTCTGCCCAGAGCCGCCCCTCGCTCTCATCCACGCTGCGGTGCTTGGCGCAGTCGATCTGCAGCAGGGACAAAAGGCAGGGGTCAGAGCTCAGCAAGGCTCTGCAGCAGCAGCTGGAGGAACACAGGTCCAAGGCTGATCATCTAAGAGCAGGTAAGGGATGTGTCTGGTTGGGGAGGCCGTTTCCTTTATCCTGAAGGGATGGAGGCAGCGTGGAAAGAAAGCACAGAAAACTCAAGCAGAAAGCCCTTTGCGAGTCTTTCTAGTCCAGAGACAACATCACCTCTACTTGATCCCTCCCCGACTGATGTGTGGCCACCACATTCTCAAAACTCCATTGAAACGCAGTCTCCAGTGCTCCTCACACACAGATTTGGCTCCTAAAAAGTCTTCCCTACAACCTAACAGTATTTCCCTTGCTACAGTTGGAGCTCAACACAGAATCACTGAATGATAGGGGGTTGGAAGGGACCTCTGGAGATCATCTCCTCCAAACCCCTGCCAGAGCAGGGTCACCCAGAGCAGGTCCCACAGGAACGTGTCCAGGTGGGGTTTGAATGTCTCCAGAGAAGGAGACTCCACCACCTCTCTGGGCAGCCTCTGCCAGGGCTCTGCCACCCTCACAGGAAAGAAGTTCCTCCTCATGTTTAGGTGGAACTTCCCGTGTTCCAGTTTGTGCTCATTTCCTCTTGT